TAATTAACAAAATTAGTACAGTATAGTAGACAACTTTGGTATCAAATTTTGATATCAAAGTAAAAGATATAACTGCACATATATCTATATATGTGTGTAGAATATATATATATGTATAGAGTATAGGAAAAAGAATCGTAAATACTTTACCGCTTCTCCATTGATAGTCCAACGGAGATCGGCTTTTGGTATTGAAGGCCAAGCCGTACAGTTGGCAGTCACGTTTTCGCCAACAGCATAGTGCGAGGATAAGCCCGTGATTTCCGGTCCTCGTTCCGGAAGAGCTGGAAAACGTAAATTCTCAACTGAATGGTACGTGAAAGTTATAACTTTGGAGAATAGTCTATGGGGTTAACGTTCCTGTATTTCATCTGTCATGAAACGTCATATCATTCTTTTCTAACATAAGAGATTGATACGTCACGTGAATTGTATTTAACGTATTATCGTTAGTACCTTGTCAACGATTGTCACATTTTTTACGATATATTTTATAAAGATTTAAATCGTTAACCCCTCCCCCCCACCCTCTTTTTTCTATTTTTTTTACCAATGTCAAATATTTCACTTCGAATTTATATGTAATAATATTTAACATATCTAATTAATTATTTCTCTCGTCCAAAATTATAATTCTTAATAAGGTATCACAGGGAAACTTGGACATAAAAAGAAGTAGAACTTAATTTAACTAAGTTGGACGTTTCGTCCCTTTATTGGGACTTCTTCAGCAAATGGAAATTTTATTTTATTATATTATAACATATATGAGGCTCATACAATAATTTTTTTCACACGTTACCTTAATCTTACAGTTCAGGATCTTTTTTTAATTGTGTAGACATACATTTTTCTTTTTATTAATATTCCAACACACGAAACATCTAAACTTCATTAAATATTCGCTCGTTATGATTTGAAATTTTCAACAACATTGTTTCAATCTAGACTAACATATCATTTACATATTAAACACATATCCCTCATCTTATGTTATATACGAATCATTTCAATTAATTCATATATTTATATCATTTTTTATACTTAGATATAACAAAATCTTTATATAAAGTTCATTTTTATCTCGAAAGGAAAAAAAGATTAAAAAAAGAAAACAACCCAAAAAAATATATATTCCGCAAAGAAAAATTATTGAAACAAGCGAACACAAATTAGAAATAGTACGTATTACGATCGAATAATTAATTAATAATAAATCCATCACATCGACATATGTGTGTGTGCATGCGCAAGTGCGAATTATATCGATAAAATATCATATTATACATTTTTTTATTTTTTTACAAAATTATTATTCTCCACCATACATATATATATATATATATTAATTAATATTAATTATTAATATTATAGATCCCGTGATATTATTTTCATGGTTAATATTCGAATGATATTTTTTTCCTTTCTTTCTTTCTTTCTTTCTTTCTTTTTTATTTATTTATTTTTTTTCCCCTTTTTACTTTCCTTTCCTTTCCTTTGCAAATATCAGTCGTTAAACGATGATCACGTTATGGCTGTCAATGGCCGTGTACTTCCACTTGTAATCGATGATCAAGTTTATCAGGATGCCGCCGGCGTCCACCCCCTGCCCCTCCCACTCCCACTCCCTCCCACCCTCTCTCTCTGTCTCTCTCACTCTCTCTCTTTGCATTCGATGTCTCTAATAGCGTTAATTGGTACACTGGATTATGAGAGACATTCGCGTTCGACCTGGCGCGACCGAATGCTCAATTAAACATCCACCCTGTTGTCCAAGCACTAATACACACATACACACATATATACATATATGTATGCATATATATATATATATCTATCTTTATCCTATAGATATGTACAGTGATTCCCAAAAATATTGAAAAAATTATAATACGATTTGACTTGTGTGTATGTGTGTATGTGTGTGTTAATTATTCGTATTTCGATTTGTTTATAAAACAATTTGGCCTCCAATTGCATCCCCCTCTTTTTATTTATTGTTTCGTTTTGTTTTTTTTTTTTTTTTTTTTTAAATAATAACTCATACATTGATCTTATCTATCCAGTAAACGTCGATTGGAATTATTTAAAACATCGTTATCGTTGTGATTTATTTTACTTTGGGGGAAGGGGTTGGGTTGGGATGGGGTTGGGTTGGGATGGGATGATAATATTCGACGTGTACAAAAAATTGTAATATGTTTTCGAATTGTATATTTATATTTTTGTCGTATAGGATTATTTGAATATATTTTCGTGTTAATTGAAGGTGTGTGATTATTCAGATAGAAATGATTTTCTTTTAAACGAGACAAATTTCTTTTCAATTTTCCTTTTCTTTTCTTTTTTTTCCCTACATATAGAAATATAAATTCGATTAACGTGTTTCACGTATTTAT